AAAGGTGAAAATGAACTGCAAGAAAACCCAGAGGTAAGATATTAGCTTAAGGTGGCTCCCTACAGTTAATACAGTTTAAAATACGATTTATATAGATCAGACTTCATAGACATTAGCTTAAGGTGGCTCCCTACAGTTAATACAGTTTAAAATACGATTTATATAGATCAGACTTCATCCTCGCGACCTGCGCGTGGAATCGTTGTGTTCACTGTTCGGGCCGGTTCGGCAAAAATATTGAAACAAGCCGCGGGATTTTTTTTTTTCGTTTTTATCTACAAAGAAAGCTCCAGTTTTTCATTATAATCCTAATTTTTTTCTGAATTCGAACAGTACGTATGTATGTTAATAACTAGTTTAACCTATCTTTTAGTGTGTTTTTACGTATTTACGTTCAGCATTGCCTTTCGTAATGCTCAAAATTTTCAACTTGCGAACTGTCAAATTGAAATGTCTTCTATTAAATTAACTCTTGAACAGTGGTGAACTGTCGCCGAAACTTATGTAAGTCCTGTCAATCAATTCAATTCACAGGTATCTTCATGTCTGCTAAATCAAATAAAACAGTTATGAGTTGTTTTATATAAAAAGTTAAACTTCTAGTTCGATGTTTCGAAAAGTTTTCACACCGATTTTAACAACAAATGTAAAGAAACACTGGATTTAATAGAATGCGTAATAGTGTTTTTATTATTAGTATTTTCAAGATTAATATTTTATTTTCATGTCAAACAAGTCAGAAATATCTGTTTTCGTATGTATTGTAAGCCAAAAACTTGAAATCACTATAAATGCGCAGATCATGCTCATGTCATGCTCATGATCATGCGCAGATCATGCTCATGTCGAGTCGATTTTTACATGTTTTTCCTTTATGGACCATAAATCTTCAAAAAAAAATTCAGAAAAATTTACCGAAGGAAAATATAGATATTGTCAATTTATTGTGAAATTAGACAATAAAAGTGCAAATGATTAAACGTCATGGTTGCCTTGGCAACACGAACACTGTTTTAATTTGTTCATAAATGGACAGCACACAGCTTCTGCACACAGCACACAGCAATCATATTGCCCTGTCTTAAGTATATTTAATATAAATTCGGTTGAAAGCGAACGTTACTCAAAATGGAAATGGCAATCCGCCATTTTGGGTGGCAAATTAAAGTAGTTGATTAAAAGCAAACATGGCGTCACAGCACGAATGTGGCACTGACTGCGGCTGTTTGAGCGCATCAACTATTTCGCTGACCTCAGAATGACATTTCGTCAAAACTTTATTCTTCAAGATTGGTTTAGAAACAAATTTGGAGTAGGGTTAGGTTAGTGTTAGGATGAGGGTTAGAGGTGGTGTTTGGAATAGGGTTAGTGTTAGTAAAACCGTTGCTTTGTTACGTTTTGTCACTCTGAGGCCAGCGAAATGATCTCTTCCCAGTTTGAGCACTTTGAAGTGTTCTAATGGGCCACATTTCCAGTCCATATCCAATAGACTGTACTGTTTATTGTACTCTTGCATCGTTAGCCTCGTTTTCATGTGGTTATTTCCTCATGTTTCGTACTTATTTATTTATTTATTTATTAAACTTTGCCAAAAACACGTAACAGAACAATAAATAGACATCTAGACAATAAACATGGACAAGAATGGCAGGGACACCACAACAGTGTAAACCAATTACTGTGGGCCCTTAATCTAACCGTGACTGTAAGCGGTTCTTCATCGAGAGGTTTGTGTTTTTGGCCAGTAAGCCATCTCATGATTCTACAGGAGTGCAATCTGGGAAGAGAGTACTATAGCGGTTCCTCATCGCCTTCGGTACCCGCGCTATCATCGTACACATTAGGCTTAAGGAGATAGGTTCGTGATTGGGCTCAAGATCAAAGAAAAACGCATGGGGACATAACCTTCCTGTGCACCTGCCATGCTAAAACAGGCAAACATGGAAAGGGCCATTGTGCATGGCAAAGTTGTAAGCTGCCTCACAACATATTAAAAAAACTTCTCTTGAAATGCGGTCACCCACATATAGTAGTTTTTACATGTTTTTCTTGCTTGTGACTGGTCTTGGAAAAACGAACATTGTCGTGGATGTCATGTGCCCTTAGGGCTGTTTACATGATTTTTGATTTATTGAAATAAGTCGCTATAGGCTTAAACGAAAGTTCATAGCCTGTTAAAGGAAGTCAAATGATGGCGGCAATATCTCGTAGATTAAGAAGATTGCACTTGCTGCTTGAATTAACAACCCTTCGTTTGCAACATACTGTAATCTATCAATATCGAAAAATGATTCAGTTTTGTTAAATATGGACCCTAACTTATTTCCGTAAAGTTATCCCTCGCATCTCGTTCCAGCAAAGCGGGATCATGTGTACAGGCGAAATACGAATGGATCAATACAAATACGAAGCAAAACTGTGATTACGACGACTGTGTTTCAAGCAATTCATCTGAGTTTACATTTTTTTTTTGTTTAGGAGCGTGGAAATCTTATCGTGTATATGCAACATGAGTTTCTAATCATGCACTATCACATGCCGACCACGTGCGATACATGCCCTAAACCAGTGTGGCACATGTTCAAAGCACCCGATGCTCTGGAGTGTAGAAGTAAGTTATAAGCCCCATCAAACCAGAATGAGAGTTGAGAAGCGAGAGTTTGCATGAAAGTTTTCTGTGCCCCAGACAAACGAGAACAAGGGTTGCATGAGAGTTGTCGAGAATTGACTGGATATTACCAGGCCTAGCAAAATTTGAACCAGCTCCATGCTGACGAGAGTACATGAGAGTCGGTGAGAGCATAGTTAGTGGAATAGATGGTTTGGAAACTCATTAGAATAACAATTTAACTCATTATCTATGTTAGTCAACGTTTATTCATAAATATGGTCGTTCACCGTCACGTGCGTATTGTATTTTTGCCCAACTAACCAATAGCAATGTCTCAAGAAAGTTATCCGTGACTCGAACAATAGGGTAAATTGGAAATTGCTATTGGTGGGTTTGGCAAAAATACAATACACACTTGACGGTGAAGGACCAGATTTATGAATAAACGTTGACTAACGTAGATAGTGAGTTATATTGTTATTTTAATGAGTTTCCAAACCATCCATTCTATTAACTATGCGTTCAAACGCGAGCGAGAGCTGCAACTCGTCAACACGTCGACTTCCTCATTTGACCGGGGCTTTATCTCATGGTAGTAAAACACGATATGCTTTATGAAAAGTGTACCGAAAAATCCTCGATTTATGCCTCCGTCTCAAATAAACTCTCTTCTCTAATAATAAGCCACCCTTTTAAAGAAAGAAATGTATCAACCTTCACTCTGTGTATGATCAGATTGATTGTTTTGCCTGAGCAGGCCTGACAAAAGTGTTATTGTTCCCCGGATCCTGAATTTTCGGGTTGGTATTAGCCCCCAACTGGACATGAATGAGTCATAACGTGGCTGCCAAAGGCGTCCTTAGACTCGATCCGGTTAAGCTGCGTCCTCTGCAATTCAACTTAGCTTTCAGTTGCAGTTTCAGTTACATACTAACTTACTATATATTTATAACTAATAGCATGGCATTCAGGTCGATTAGTGATGAAATGTACTCGAAAGCCGAGAGAGGTTTACTAAACCTCTGGACTTGAGGGACATTTCATCACTAGTCGACCGTAATGCTATGCTATCGCTCTGTAATGTCATAGATACCAAGACAATAAAATTGTTTCTGACAAATGAATCAATAACATTAGATAAAATAGTTTTGTTTGTGGAAACACCACATAAATTTATTACTGCAAAGCTTTCGATCCGTAAGCCCGGATCTTCATCAGTGCTAATAATATGTGAAGATGAAGATGATGAAGATCCGGGCTGATGAAGATCCGGGCTTACGCATCGAAAGCTTTGCAGTAATAGATTTACGTGGTGTTTCCACAAACAAAACTGTTATATTTTATCGCCATGCAAACATACAAAGAACTTCTAACATTAGATAATTTATTAGTAAATGCTTGTTTTGACTATGAAAAAGTCAGTCACAAAAAAACTCCGATTTTGGTTCATAGGCAAATGTTCAGACTGTAAACATTAACATTATGAATAAATTATTTGAAATGTCGCCTTTTGTGAGTTAATTGAATGTCAATATAAGAGGTTATGAATAAAGATGAGGGACGATTAGTAACCAATCGTCCCGTGGGATGATTAGTTTCTAATCGTTTCTCATGGCTTAGCAATGAGGTAAATCAGTCATTAATCACATCTCGCGAGACAAAGGATTTCGAGGTGGCTATGAAATTATTGCACATAATAACCATTGTCATTTGCCGGCGAAAATTTCACTGGGGATCCCAGCCCCCTCCCAATAAGTACAAACACCTCCTCCCCCGTAAATAAACAATATATCGTAACCATCATTTGTCAGTATTTTACCTTTAAAAGGTTTATTCGGCCCTTATTATGACGCGTTACCCTGACCTTCAATTTTATTTTTATTTTAGGATGTCACATCAAATGTCATAAGGATCACGTGGATCGAGAGGAAGCTTGCGTCACTGCATGCCAAGGTAATGCAATTTTTGCGTCTACTGGTTTCACCAGTAGAACGCTTTGTCATCGTGGAGTTCGATAAAACCACATAACCATGTGATCAATTTTTTGACGTTTGATCACACGAAGTATATAACATGCCGCTGTTTTGCCGCAGGAACACTGATAAGTGTGCAAAAGCCATTGAATCCATTGATATCAAAGTAGTTTTTTGTTGTAAATTGTAACACAAAAATTAGTAGGAAAAGACGTAGTTCATTCCGTTCATCATTAAAGTACGATGCAAAAATTAGTATCACTGATACAGCTCAGTACTTTGTCCTCGTATAATATCAATGAACACGCATTTGTCCCCGTATAGTATTAATATCATTGAACATGACATGGATTTGGTCGAAAAGCTTGACTAAACGAGAAATTCGGTGAACAAGGCAGTTGTTTGTTAATATGAACAAGATCGTGTATTTTCCTTGAATTGTAATACACCCTTTCGATAATTACGTCACAACTACACTGTTTTCAACTTAGCACCACCTTAAATGTAAAGGATTTCAAGTTTTTTTCTCATGAGTTATGCACGTGTATTAAGTATCAAAGTAGAAATGTCATGATGTCATCTTTGAATTTTGTTAAATGACATGGAATATCGGTATTGGAAAAATATCGGTCCTTCAATATCGATTATCGGAATATCGGTGAATTTCCAAATCGGTGCATCACTATTATCAAGGTTGCTCCACATCATGGAAATCCAATTTACCAAAATGCCCATCGCGCGCTTATATCGTTAACCGCAGACAGGATGGGTGGGGATTGCAGAGGCACCCTTAAAGGAACTATATAGGCCTTCTGGCAGAAATCGAATATTTGGCCCTGCGATTCCTAACCAACTGAGCTACAGAGTCCAGTTTTTGAGCTCTAACCACAAGTTCATGCATCTATACTCAAAGCGATGCCATGGTTAAGGTTTTATTCATGTTTAAGAGTAAATGCTGAGGGATTTTGTAGATGGAAATTTCGAGTGTAAATTTTATACATTTACATTAGACCTAACTAGGAGCAACTGCGAAAAATGCAACTGTATATATTGAACGAATTGAAACCACTGATTGAAACCCGGGCGGTCACACGTAAATGACGTAATACCACCATGCTAGCCCATAGACGGATTTTCATATTTTTTACTGGGGTGGTGCCAGAAATTTTAGGGGGGTGAGCCGTGAGCAGGTGACTGAAGCAACACAAAGTGTACCAAACCCCAGTAAGGTCTATATTCTAGGGGTGGAGCACTCGAGCCGCGAGGGGGAGTCTAGAGAGCAGAAAACAAAGTATCCCTGGAAAAATTTGAAAAAAATCATGATTTCTAGCTTCGAAAAAACGTTTTTTGAAGTTGTCATATCAATGGATTTGGCCTGTCCGATCAGGGCCGTAGCTAGCATGTATAGTTGGGGGAGGTAGGGTGTAGGCCAAATATTTCCGAATGACGAAAAAAATTTCCGAATATTTCATGGCATACTAAGCAACAAAGGTGTTTGCTATCTGGAAAATGAAGACGCAATTTACAAACAAAAATACACATAGCCCACATAGTTTCCACAAAGACATATTACAGAAGTATGCAGTGCCGTAGTAAGCTCTTTTTGATTGGGGGCTGGGAACGAGGGCCAAAGGCCAGAGGAAATTTTTAAATTTAGATTCTCTGAAATGCCATTTCCTGGACTTTGGGGGAAGTTTTGACAGAATTCTGATGGTCAGAAAACAGAGTTTTAATATGATATTTGTGATGTTACTCTGAGTATGCATCCACAGTGGGCAAGCTGAAAAGTGTGCCTGGCCACGGTGGGAGTCGAACCTGCGACCTTTGGGATACTAGTCCAATGCTCTGCCAACTGAGCTACGTGGTAAAGTCGGTTTGAGTTGTTAATAGAGTTTTAGTATGTCGAAATTTACAATTTGATTACAATTTAGCAGAATTAAATGGGCGAAGTCGTATTTAGCTATATATTGGAGAAGTTGCAGGAAAGAGTATGGGTAATATAATTCTTTGCGGTTTGTCATGGATAATGTAGCCGCTTAAAATTAATCAATTGTTTAAATGATAAAGGTGTGCATGATTTTGAAAAAAGACTGATTATCAGCAAATTATTGTAAGGGTGCTGCCTCCCCCCCGGTTGCTACGGCCCTGAGAAGTACTGAAACCGAAAAAAAATTTACCGATTTACGATTTGTTAAACGTTATCCATGTAAATGCCGTGATTTCGTAAATCATTTTATACTGATTATAATATTATAATATTTTTTCTGTTTAATTAAACAATTAAAATTTTGTTATACTATTATTGCCGTAATTTTCCGAATGGCCAACCCGATTTTCCAAATATGTTAATTCTACAAAAGTCGGGGGGTTAACCACACACCCCCCCCAACACCCCCTCGCTACGGCCCTGTGTCCGATTGTCTGTTGACACTTGAGAGAGTTAAAGTTAAATGAACCTGTAAAAGTGTAAACCCAATAGGCCAATACACAATATGCTTTTACTTTTATAAACAATGAATTAAAAAATTAAAAAGAATTAAAAACGAATTACAAACATAAAAGAATTAAAAACGAAAAATAATGTTTGTAAAAATTCCAAACGTTCCTTGCAAGCAAGCTATTTGCATGACAAGGCACTGCAAACTCTATTCAGGGGAGATAATAGAGTTTCCAAACTTTACAATTGCTCCAATAATATTGCTTTCTATTTGAGTGTACTCCTACGTTTATTTTGTATCATCAACACTCTGCACGTTGGAGTGGATTATTTAATTATTTTTTATTATGCCGAATATTGGGGGGGGTTGAAATTTTTTTTGGAGGGGTGGACATTTTGTTTGGGGGGGTTGCGCTGATTATTGGGGTAGCACCCCCCTGCACCCCCCCACAAAATCCGTCTATGCATGAAGTATTGTCATGGTAACACGATAATTTTGAGAATAGTTTTAAAATTGAAAAATCCCCCCAAAATGATCAATTAAATTCCCAAACATGTATATGCTAGGTATGTTATTATACGTAATATAAGCTTCAATTTAATGTAAAAATCAACCACAAATGCTTCGCAAAACGTTTCAAAATGTTCTTAAAACTAGACTGCCTTTTATTGGTAAACATTGAGTTTCAAAATCGAAATAAATTGATTTCAAATTCTTGCATGAAAATAACTCGTCGTCATGCCACAGAGATCATGCTGAAAACCGGAAGTGGAGATCAGTCACTGATCTCATTTATCGTCTGGATGTAGGGAATTGCAAACCTGCAACCTGCAAAATTAACCAGCCAGTTAGGATACCAAGGTTTTGATATCTGGTATCCTGAATTGAAAACTGGTGTCATCAGGGTACTAGTTTACTGCCAATCTCGAACCCTGACACAAGCATCACATAATACAGTAATTATGACCACTCACTTTTTCCCAATAGAGCTTCTCACAATCTGTGATTCAGCCACATTACCATAAGCATTGAAGCAATTCTTAAACTTATTCTAAAGCAATTAAGCAAAATATTTTAGCATTGACCAATGAAGTGGCAAAGTGTCCCAGATTAGAATTTTACAGTACTTCATCACTTTACATATTGTTGTCATAGACAGATTTCAGATTTTGCTCTGGAGGGGTGCCAAAATTCAGGGGCAGGTCAGCCAGAGGGCGCATAACACGCGGAACATTAATTTCAGGGGTATGTGCAAATTTCTTTAGGTAAGGTGGGAAAATGTTCTGGGGCACCCCCTACACCCCCAGAAAATCTGTGTATGATTGTTGTAATAACCCGCAAAATATAGACATCCGGCACCATCCGGTAAACTTTTCCGGATATTTACAGGATAGTACTGGAAATTTTAATTTTTTGACAAAACTGTCTGTTTGATATACACAAACTGGTCTTCTGGACATGTGACAAATTAAAACAAAATTACAGTTAAGATTTTTTTGTGATGTAAACTACTCTCTGCTGTATATTGTCTGATGATTATATCTGTATATTTTCTTACGTCAAAAAGTTAGTGACATATTGACCAAGTACCACCATCAGCAGCCCTTGAAATTCCCGAAATTTCAAGTCAGCAAGAAATTGCCGACCTAAAATCGATAATTCTCAATCTAAGTCGGCAAAAATTTTCGTTTGATTTTATTGCTTGCTATAACCCATTGAGTCGCATTGCACCCTGATGTGCCCTACTTTATTATTTTACTCTAACGCCAGACGATTTTACTCGTCAAGGGGAGAGCGCTGGAGCTTAATGGGTTCACTGGCCTATCTGCCCATGTGTCTAGTTAACCCATTGAGTCGCATTGCGCCCTTATGCGCCCTACTTTATTATTTTACTCTCACTGTCTAACACCAGGCGATTTTACTCGTCAAGGGGAGAGCGCTGGCGCTTAATGGGTTAAGTATGTATTTATGAACAGCAATCAATGGCGAACAAAACAGTAAGTTTTGAAAGTAGGTCGGCAAGGATTTGCCAACCTTAATCTACAATATCGTTTTGCAGGTCGGCATTTAGGTCGGCACTGCCGAACGCCACCCTGAGTTTGGGCCGGCTGCATCAGTATCCGATTATTGGAGAGGCTCAGATTTGACTTCCACTATCGCTACCATTAAGGGACCATTAACCAATCAGATGCATTTGATATATCTGATTAACCAATCAGATGCATACTAAGCCAGTGAGAGGTAGTGATAGTGGAAGTCAAATCTGAACATCTCTACTATCAATCTCGTTCTCCGAGCCTGCGATCCTCGGGAAGGAACGCGAGGCTCTGGGATAATCCGTTTCAGGGAGGAATCTGATTGGCCATTGAAATGGAATGCGTAGTTCAATCTTAGCCATGATTCTTGGCTTCCGGTAACGGATTATCCCAGAGCCTTCGATTCCTTCCCGAGGATCACAGACTCGGGGAACGAGATTGCTCTACTATCTGGTAGACTACTATCCAGTACCATCCGGTATCCGGCAAAGCAGTATCCGGCACATACCCAACTCTGACGGAGATGGCCTTATGCAGTGCCCATACTTTACCTCGCTACAACTCTCGGGCAGTTTCATCACATACACCTGATATAGACCGTCTTTATTTGGCATCAGATCATCTCACTTGCCCC